ATGTCGCTCACCCCAAAAAAAAAAAAAAAAAAAAAAAGGCTGGAAAGGGAACTGGAGGAAAGGTGAAGAGCAGAGTCAGGTGTTTCATTTTCTGGGGAGGGACAGGTCCAGGCATGCACTTCGAGCATCCCCACTGCTGTTGAGTCAGACACATTTGCTTGCCCAGGTGATGGCTCAACCTCTTCTTCCAAATGCATCCTGGGAGGTGCCACAAGTCCCTTGCTCTTTGCTGGTGCTGCCAAAATCCCTGCTCTAAGCTGCTTTAACCCCTGTAGCCAGTCAAGGTTTGCACAGTGGTAGAAACCAGGCAAATACAGGGGGAAGAACTTTGCGCAGGGGGCAGAAATGATTTCAAACATTCATTCCTTCCACCAGTGCAGCCTCCCAGCCCACAGGTGTACTCCCCACCAGCCGTTTGCTGCCACCAGGGGCAGGGGCTCTCCAGAGAGCTCAGTGTCTTTGCACTGGTGTGTGCCAGGGAGGGGTAAAGAGAGCCAAGGCAATCCTGCCATCGCTCTGCCAGGAGCTTCCCAGGTGTAAATATCCATGTCTGAGCCAGCCCGGGTGGGAGTTATCGCCCTGCCTGGCTTTGGCTGCAGCCTGGGGACGTTGCTCTTCTCTGCTGCACCACGGGACGTGGGTTGTGGGATCTGGCTGACAACCCATAAATCACTCCAGGGACAGGCAGGAAGAGATGGACGGAGAGGCGGCGTGTCTGACTTCCCACAAAGAGCTCCTTGATACCATCTGACGCTCACGTCCCCGAGACCCCCAGCTGCCCGTATCGCCGCTCCACACGCTGCTGCTGGGGAGCAGCTGACTCGGCCGATAACCGGAGGATTACGGCTCCTCGTAAAACCCAAGGTCAAAAACAGAAGGAGTTTCGGAGTGTAGTAACCACCCCAACAAAGAAGGCAACACCCTCTCACATACATAAACGCAGAACTTGGTTACATTTATAGAAACGTACCAGAAAAAGAGATGCCTCCCTCAGCTTCCCCATGCCCGTACCCATCAGCATCCCCAAACTCAGGGCTGGGAGCAAAGCTCTAAACAGGAGCAGAGGTTGCAGCTCAAACTGCCTGTGCTGTCACCTCCCGGGCAGGGCACCGGGGCTGTCCTGGACTGGATCTGGGCTTTCATCCATCAAGTGCAGCATCCCTCCTGCCCCAGGCTCCTGACCTGCTCCACAAAGCCTCAGGGAGCAGAAGTACGCAGAAGGGGGAGTTAATAGCAAGAGGGCGAAAGATAATTTATCTCTGCCTAGCCTCTTCCTCTTTATCATCCGACATGGTGGTACAGAGAAGCTAGAAAAAAATAAAGTCCTTCAAGCACTTTTTAAAATTTTCTGGCCAAACTTTCAAAGGCTCAAGGCTTGCAAGTCACTCGAAGATAATGCTGGTGAACTGTGCAAAAATGCTGGAGCTGCGAGGTAGGACAACAGAGAGCTCCTCAAGCACAAACATCAAACGTCTCTGTCGCTCCGGACCCAAAAGTGCTGTAAGTGTTCCCTGCTGTGGAAAGCAGTTTGCTTCAGCAGCTGCAAATTCACCACGTCTCTCAAATACCAGGAGCGGGAGCAGCTGCGCTTAACCTGCAGGAACAAAACCAAAGGCTTTAGGCTACAGAGGGGTGGCTCGTACAATCCCAAACTGCAGTTTGGGCTGGGCACTGATCTTTGGGCTTGTTCTTGTATCTCTTGGGTTAAGCTCTTCATACGGAAGGCATAGCAGACCTTTCCTTATCCCCTTACTCACAGTGGACCAATGCAACAATGCAGTTGGTCCTATAAAAACAGGGCTGGGGTGAATCACCGATTTCTTTTTTTGTTTTAAAGTCCGATCTGAAACTCTTCAACGCTTTGACATGCGTATTCACACTATTGATTGGCGTTTAGATTTGCAGAGGGATAAACCCAGGGGGGTTTGTCAGCAGCAGGATGCTGGGTTTTGCACAGACTTTCATCCAGAAATGCAAAGCACCCACTTCTCCATGGCAGTCGGCAGCTGCTGCTGCTGAGTAGCACAAGAGAAAGGCTGGAAAGAGGGTGTAGACATGACGTAGCATTTGTGGAAGATCATGCTCTCTCCACGAGAGAGAAACTCTCTTCTGCTGCCAGATCCTGATGTAGACTGTTAAAATCCCCACGTGAGCCACCCCACGTGAGCCACCCCACGGGGAGCTGTGGTTGTGCTCGGCACCAGGCACTGCTTCCCACGCCGGGGCTTGTTCACAGACTCCCAGGGAGCCCACCCCGACCCACCCAGGGCTGCACACCCACGTCTCGGTGCTGGGGGCAGCGTCTCCAGGCGCTCTTACCGCTCGATGATGCTGTTGTTCAACTGGAGATCACAAGTGACCGACCTCATCTGCTCCAGGAGCTCCTGCATCCTGCCGGGGACACAACCAGCCCCTCGTTCTGTTGCTCGTGCAGGGGATGAGCAGTTGGAGGGTCCTGCTTCTCCCCGGGGGAGCTGGGCTGGCCGCAAACCCCTCTTCCGAAAGACTCACCGAAACGCCATCTCCTGGCGTGCCTGGCTTGGATGGATGGGTGAAGGCACGGGAGGAACTGGGGCCAAACTCCATTTCTCTGTCTGGAGAAACTTGTCCAGAGCCTGCAGAGAAGGACAGACGTGGCAGTGGGGGCCTCAGCCCCAGTGGCCTCAGTGCCAGACCCTCCCCACAAGCGCAGTGTGCCCACCCCGGGACAAAACACTCGGGGAAAGGACGCCTACACCCAACACATCCACTTCTTGAGGCCAAAGAGAATAAAATAAATGAGGGACATCTATCAGGTGGCTGCGCCACAGCTTGTCGGGTAGTCCATCGTGAGAGCTGGAGATGAAGCATCATTTTTCTAGTACTGCTGTTCCTGTTGACTGAGTACCAGGCAGCCCTTGGGACCAAGGGTTTATCCTTTCCTTGCTCACGCAGTGGGGCAAAGCAAGATCTCTGGTGTGGATCACCCACAGAGACCTGCTGCGAGTTGTTTAAAAATACCGTGGCATTTCCCGGCTTAATGCACTCGCTCAGGGTGAGGGGACCAGCAGCATTATCAGGGAGCGGGACCCGCGCCGGCACCTACGCTCTGCAGGCAGTCCTGGCACTCCATCGTCTCCACGCTGCAGGAGCTGATGCGGTTGCTGAGCCTCTTCAGATGCTTCTTTATCTCACAAACTTTCCTAGAAAGAAAAACAGGATTCCCAGTCGATGTTCGGCAGCAGTGCAGATCATGGTATTTCCCTTTTTTTTTTTTTTTTCCTGCACATTTAAATTCTCTGCTGCTTTCTGCAAACCTTTCTGGATCCAAGTTAAAATCCTGAAAAGAAAGCCAATAAGCCACAGCAGCGTTGTAATTACAGCTGCAAGCTCTGCTAATAGCCACTGTAGGCCAGGTTATCCAAACAACACTATTAGCAAATTAATTAGGGAAAGTGTGGCTTATACAAGAGACAGCTTGAGCCCATCACTTCTACCCTAAAGTGCTGCCCAGGCCAGTCCTCTGTGTCCCGCGGAAGACTGAGCAGCGCCCAGAAAGGCTCCTGGGCTGTGCACGTCCTTTTTTGGGGAGAACAGGCTGTCCTGTTTCTGCCAGAGTGAGGGACCCCAGGGTGGAGGTGCCACACAGCAGGCAGGCACGTTGTGAGTTGTATGAAAAAAAAATAAAAGGAAAAGGTTTGGTTTGGCTTAAAAACAAAACAAGAGGAAATATTTAAGGTGAGCGTTCCACCTCCAGTCCCCAGAAAAACAGCCACAAACCCCGGCTGTTACCAGGACAAAACAGGACAATTACAACTGAAGTAACAATAAATTAAAAATATCCAGCTGTGACTCAGGACGCCTTCTCACTAAGGACGGAAAACCAGATACAAAAATACTCAAGAAAAATAAGAAGCAGCTTTTTTTCCACCCTGTGAGCAAAGGTATAAGCCCTGCGTGAGCGCATAGGGCTGCTTCTAGCCTCAAAATCCCTCTCCTAGTAAAACCTAGGCAGGGCTACTCCACACCAGAAACAGGGACCAGCCAAAAGTGGGGTTTAATTCTAAAGCATTACAGAAAATCATCCTCCTTCTTGCCTACACTGGTAGCCCAGGGGAATGGATGCTTCTCTCTAAAATAAACCCTGCAATAAAAATCCAATTTCTGCAATATCCTGTTCCTCTGACTGCCTCCCCCTCACCCCCGCTCTTTGCCGCTGTGATAGGCAGCGGCTTGTGCTCCATCACCGCAAGGTAATTTGCTCTTTGCGTTATTCCCCAAACACCATTTACCAGAAAATCATTCCTAATAAGTAGATCTCTTTGTCTCAATAGCGATTGTGCCCTGATAAAATAACCTCTCCCCATCAGAGAGCAAGGAAATCAGCTGCCAGAACTCAAGCTGCAAGTTTAGGGGGATATTTAAAAAAATTAATAAATTAAACCAACTTAAAATACCAGGGCAGGAATACACAGCACGGGGGTTGCTCCCCTCATCCATCCCCGTGGGGCTCTGAAAGCCAGAGCTCCAAAACCAGGGGCTGGTCCCTCATCCTGCTGCCGTGGAGGGCCAGGGCCTCCTGGTACCGCTGGACACAGTCATCCTGGAAAATTAACAGAACTTTCCTGGCCAGATGCCCCAAATTCACCCTAAAACCACAAAAAGAGAGAACACTGTTATTTTTCCTTAAATGTACGAATACGAGCGTCACAATTCACATGTTTCCCGAATGGAGAAAGAAGGACTGGATGCTCAGTAATGAATTCTGCATCAGTGTCACAGGGAAAATCAAAATCTGATGATGGTGGAGGGGGAGGTTTTGGGGACCCAGGCAGGGATGATATCCCCACCCTGGGGCACTTCTGAAAAGTCTTTGCCTTGGAGTTGAAGGCAAATATCCAAGGTTAGGCTGAAGATTAATTAAGATAAAGGAGCTGCTGTTAAATTTCACCATCCCTGATATATGCGGAACCGAGCACTTTATTTCTTGCCTGTGATAAATTCCCCTGGTTTCAGTGGAAACCAAAAGGAGGATTTTTAAAGGCACAAAAGCCATCAGACACTTTACTCCCGCGGAAAGCTAAGCAGATATGAAAGCACGGATACTGCCTAAATCAGCATCTCAGCAAATAAACGGCCACGGGCTCAGTAAGCGTGTGAGCATCAGCCTGAAACACGCTTATCCCCGCAGCCCAGCAGCAGCTCCGTGTGCCCAGGTCTGCAGAACTTTCCTCACACCTTCACCTGAAATAGCTCGTGGTTTGAAAACCTGGCTGTGCAAGGTCCTGCACCCATGAACCATCACAGAAGTCACTCACATGTAGGTGTCCTCTCTCAACAGGAGTCACCCAGGATCATTTACACCCCTTCAGGATTCAATGAGAAATAGCAAAACTCCTGTGAGGGCTGTCCCTAGAAAGGGGAGAGGGTTGGGACTTACTTATCCAGCTTGTGTATCTGCTCCTCGTTGTAGCCCAGCCCTGGGGAGGAAAGACACCGATCACCACGTGTTTTCCTGTTCATAACCCAACAAATGGGCAATTTCACAACACGCAGACATCGCTCGAGGGACTTTCCAGGGCTGTAGCCCCTGCGATTACTGCGATGGCATGGAAATAACCGCTGAAGCCAGCAAAGTGGAATGATTTGGTTTTGCACCACGCCAGCGCAGGGACGTTCCTGCCGTCCCCGTCACTTACGTGGGCATGTCCTGGCCTTCTTGAACTGCTTGTAGATCAGCTGCATCTTCTCCAGGCAGCACTCGATCTGCCGGATGCTGGAATCAGGACAAGGAAGGAGGCATGAGGCCAGCGGGGAGGAAGGGGATGAGGTTTGGGGGGCTGATTAGCACTTTGGAGTGACATCCAAGCACTTGGGGATGCTGCTGCTCCCCGTGTCCATGCACAGGGACATTGAGCAGGGTGACCCGCGCCTGCCCAGGGCTGCTCTAAGCTGTTTGCAACGTGGGGCTGTGCATGGCTGTTTGGGAGCACCCAGTGACGCTCACTCAGCCCAGCTGAGCGAAAACAGAGCATTGGTGTGGGGAGAGTTTGGCAAAGCTGGTACCACAAACCTTTTGTCTTCGTGCACTTGTTGTCTGTGCTTCACCAGCTCGGACAAAACGCTGTCCAGCGCCCCTTGGAAGTCAAAGATGTTGTGGGAGCACTTTGAGAGCTCCTCAGCCACCTGAGGATGAGGAGGAAGAGGTTGGGGCCGGGTCCTCCAGAGGCTGCGGCT